CCCAGATCACTTTTTTTAAAATATTCATGCATTGTTGCACAATTTCCTTTTTTGCTTGAACAACTTTCACGATGCCTATGGAGAGCCATTCATACGGTTTCACACATATTTGAACGGGTATATTTATTATTTCTCTTAGAGAAATTTCGCCCAGCCCACTATTTTACCATTATCTGTTGTTTCCTAATTCTTTCCAGCTGTATGCCACCTGAAACTTGACAAGCATTCTTCTGTTCCTTTGTCATCACATGCCTGATTTCAAAACATGAAACAAGATACTACCCTGAAATAAAGCCTCACCTTCATCACCTAGTCTGAGGCAGACATATGCAGCACACTTTAAGCTTATTCTCAGCAACCGTACAAAACACAGCACCCTTTAGTGCTCTGGTGGTCTGGTGGGTAAGGAGTTGTGCTGCCATCCCAGAGCAGGACAGTTTGAATCTACCAGCTGCTCCAAGACAGAAAGGTGTGTAGTCTCCTCTCCTGCAACTTAATAGCCTTTGAAAACCTACTAGAGGGTCAGTTTGGACTCAGCAGCATTGAGTTCTTGTGTTTGTTTGTTTGGTTGGTTGGTTGGTTGGTTGGTTGGTTGGTTGGTTGGTTGTTGTTATGTGTTGTCAAATCGCTTGTGACTCATAGCAACCCTATGTACAACAGCTCTGAACCTTGCTCTATCCTGAGCCAGCCTTACTGTCTCCTACACACTTACCCCCATTACTCCAGTCACTGAGTCAACCCATCTCATTGCAAGTCTTCTCCAACCTCCCAAGCATTACGTCCCTCTCCAATGACTGGTCCCTCCTTGCACCATGCCCAAAGTATGTCAAACGAAGCTTTAGTTATATTTATTTTTTTTATGTTATTAGTTTTAATGAACATTTACAGGGATTTTGGGTTTTCATTCCTTCATTGCTGCACCGTTCTCTCTACCCTCCTCCCCAGTTTGTTCTTCCCCCGCCCTCTGAATGTCTGTTTTAATTGTCCAATTGCCACAGTGCTTGTCAAAGTCAGTTCTGATTAATCGCCTTTGTCGGTGTGTCCTTTGCCATTCCCTATCACTCCTCCCTGAGAGAGACTTCACCCTGATTCATAAGGAAAAGGGGATGGTGTATTCTCTTAGCTACTTCCTGCTGAAAAGAGACGCTGTGGGTTTCAGGGTGAAGATCTTCTCTCACTACTCTAAAGGGCCCCTTTGGCAGTAGGAAACACATAGACTATTATGGAGATTGATTTTGGAATTTAGATGCACTGTTATTAATTGTGCTTAGCCGTACATGTTCATATCCTTGAAGATGTATCATGGGGGTGTTGCAACCTAGAAGACACAAATTTAACTAACAAGTTAAAAGTACATGAGTCAAAAAGTATGGAAAAGTAAAAGAAAAGATTCTTTCATTGTTTTACAAACCCCCCCCCCAGGTCCCCTCCACCAAAGAGTCCAGTGAGACAGTCCTTGGAAAAAGACATCATATGGGGGAAATGGAGGGTCAAAGAAAGAGAGAAAGATCCCCAACAAGATGGATTGGTACAGTTCCTGTAACGATGGGTTTGAACACATGAGAAATGGTGAGGATGGCACAAGATAGGGCCAAGTTCACATCTGTTAGTCATAGGATCACTATGAGTTGTAGGCAACTCAATAGTATCTAACAGCAACATGATGATGCAATGATCAAGGACTCAGCCACCAACCAAAAGGATGGCAATTTCATGCCTCTCACTGCTCCACAACACACCGTGTGGAGCTCTACTCTGCATGTATGAAGTCATCATGAGTTGTTAACTGGATGACAACCAACAACGGCAGACATAAGAATACATGATTAAGTATCACAGCCTGATGGCATTAATACCATACCCATGTTTTAATACCTCACAACACTATTGATTTACAATGATCAGCAAAAGATCCTGAAACGATTGTGCACATTCTTACAAGTAGTCTTTCATTTAATGTATAACAAGACTGTTCCTGTTATCATTTAGAGGTCTTTTCAAGACCTATTCTTGTTTGTGGTTTCCTGATGATGGTTGTGGCATTTCCTCTTACACTGGGTTTTTAAAAGTCATGTGAAATAGGTGCTAAAAACAAAAAACCAGGGTGTGTGGACTGAGCACATCTGTGCTTCCGGGTTGTTAACTCTGGCATTGTCCTGAGTAGGCTGTTGATATGTCTCGAGTTACACAGAGTCCAGAGCTCAACAACCACTCCAGGTTCAATGGAAACCAGTTTTACTGCTCACTGATTCTTAGCAAGGACAGCCAGTGAGAGACTTTTAAAAGTGAAACCTTTATAATAATGCTGAATGGGAAACAATAGAGGATTAAGTAAGCAAACGAGTAAGTGCACCTATAAATGTCTGGTGCAACCATTAAAATGATGTATTGGATGAATGCTTAATAGTGTGGGAAAGTATTTGGATGTGTTACGTGGAAGAAGAATCCAGTTTTAAGATAATATTTCTGTATAGTTTAAGTTTAAAAAGTCTGCATTTAGAGAATTGAACCGAGGTGGTTACGTTACTAAGCATTTATTAAGATGGGTTAGTAGATTATCTTTGTCATCACTGACAACCTAAGTCGTAGTGATAATTGATAATACTTTTCTCTCTCTCATTGACATTGAGTCAGATTCGACTCAGAACTGTTCCCAAGGCTGTAAATAGCATGAGAGGAGACTGTTTAACTTTCTCCCTTGGCCTTTCAAATTGGAGGTCTGGGGTTAGCACTGCAACTCTATCGACTATGCCATCAGTTGTTGTTGTGTACTGTTGCTTCAGAATGGACTCATAGCTGACCTTCTGGTGAGTTTTCAGAGGCAGGTAATCACACAGGAGGAGATTGCCCATCTTTCTCCAGCAGAGCAGCTGGTGGCCTCGAACTACATGCCACTAGACCACTAGATGTTGATTATAGGCAAGGCACTATTTTAAGTGTTTTACATCTGTTTCATACATGACATACATATAATTTACATTAAGTATATCCTCTAAACCTTCAACAACAAAGATACTAACTTTTATGGCAATATAAAGCTTTTGAGAATGGAGTAATAGAGAGATAAGAATTGTTGATTATGATGAGTAAATATCATGGGAGCTAAAAGAAGAATATTGTGTCTCTTGTAAACTCTTAATTGTTGCTGTTGTTGTTATGTGCCGTCGAGTCGTTTGCGACTCATAGCGACCCTATGTACAACAGCCCTAAACCCTGCTCTATCCTGTGCCAATCGCATTGCCTCTGACACACCCGTCCCGATTACCCCAGTCACTGAATCAATCCACCTCATGGAGGGTCTTCCCCTCCTGCGTTGTCCCTCTAACTCTACCCAGCATGATGTCCCTCTCCAAGGACCTCTCCCTCCTTAGAACATGTCCAAAGTATGTCAGACGGAGCCCCAGAATCCTTGCCTCCAAGGAATAGCCTGGTTTAACCCTCTCTAGGATGAATCTGTTTGTTTTCTTGGCAGTCCATGGTACATTCAATACTCTTCTCCAGCAACACAGCTCAAAGGCATCAATTCTCCTTCTATCCTCCTTAGTCATTGTCCAACTCTCTGATGCATAACAAGTGATTGCAAAGACCATGGCCTGTAACTCTTAATTAGATTGGATTTAATCCTGAGAACATGTATTAATTTGATCTGAATAATATGAGGCATGCATAAATATAACACTGCCTCTAAAAACACATTTGGGCTTTATTCTGTTTTTTTACTCAACTTTATTTGAACTCCAACCGTAAAATACAAGAAAACATAAATTTTTAAAAATCTTTATTTACTATAGCAATATGTGTTCTACTGAAATAACAAAATAGAAAGGTGAATGCACACCTGCTGGTGGTGGTTTAGAGAGTTTATGAACATGGTTACAAGTGTGACATTTTATTCTATTATTATTTTTTATGTCACATTAGTGATTTTTTTTCATACCCACGTATATTTTCTTCATGCAGGCTTTTTTTCAATTGTTTACCATCAAGTAAAATTAAAACAACTCTGAAAGTTATGGTTATGGTATTTTAACATTTTTTTATCTCCACCATTATTGACTAGATAATATGTTTCTTTCTCTGAAAAGAGCCAGACATAAGTATTTTGGACTTTGTGGGCTATAAGTATCTGTTACAACTATTCAGCTCTACCACTGTAATTTAAAGATCATCAACTTAAGTACTAACGTTGTTGTTGTTGTTGTTGTTGTTGTTGTTGTTATGTACTGTCTGTCTGTAACTGGGCCACAGCTGATCCTCCAGTGGTTTTCTACTGTGGTTGTCACCAGCAGTAAATCACACTGAAGGAGATTTTCCATTTTTCTTCCGCGGAGCAGCTGGTGGATT